AGGGGATACGGATAAAACTACAGATAGTGGTTTTATGTGAAATCCAACTGAAACGAATTGTTCAGAGATACCGAATGATCGGACAGCTCACATCTGATCTATTTTTCAGAGATCGAAATTCGACAATCGAGAATTTTCTTGTCACGCGATTATGTTTTATACATTCGCGTTTTTTGAGATTTGGAATTAACTGCGGATGAGACACTCAAAATCTTGAAAATTGTTTCAGAATTTGAAAAGTTTCGAGTTTTTAAAACAATTTTTACAATTTTTGTGATTTAATGTGACACTGCATTTTTGAAAGAAGATAAAGATTAATTTTTATAAAAATTACTTTTGTTTTTTGATTTTTAAAATTAATTAGAAATGAGATATTTGAAATCTTGAGATTATTTTAAAATTTAAAAAATTTCGACTTTTCGAAATTCAAAAGTTTGATTGATGTTAAATTTAAAAAATTTAAAGATTGAAAATAAAAAATTCCACATTTTAGATAAAATTTTATGAAATTTTGTAATTCTCGAAACTTTTACGATTTCAAGTTCTGAAGAGAGAAAAAGTCTATATAGTTCTTTGGTTGAAATTTGATGAAATTACTTTGCGAAAAATCGTAAAGTTTTACAAAAACCTATAAAGTGATCTTCCAAGTTCCAGTGAACTCTTGTTGAAAGATTAGACCCGTGACAGTGGTGCTTTTGCAGCATTAAAGTTGAACAGGTTTGAAAACGAGAAGAAAGAAGATCGAACGAACCACATCATCTTTCGATTGCTTCTTCCAACTCTTTTAAAGATAGGGAAAGAGAAATCAATCTCGTTCAAGTGAATCGACGATTGTATCAAAAGTTGAAGTCATTTGACATATTTTTCCATAACCCATCGATCTTTTTCGTAATTATTCAATGTACGTATTCAAAACCTTTCGACCAACCTTATTTCTAGAGCACATTACTATATAATTTTCTTCTAACATGTTCGAAATTTAAAATAAAAAAGATTTAGAAATATCGTTACACAAAATTATTAATCAAAGTTTTAATGATTTTGAAGTTTAATGAAAATGAAAAATAATCAAATTTTTATATATTTTACAAAATATAAATATATAAAAAGAATAACAATAATTGTTCTGAAAAAATTTTTAATTTTAAAAAGCTTTATAAAAGTTTTTAATTAAATAGAAAATATACAACTGTTATTATCAATATTTTCATTGAATATAAATTTTTTTTAATTATATATTAATTATTATTATTGATTAATTTAAATCGTAATTGTATTATATTTAATGTATTTTAAAATTTTTAAAATAATACATATGGTTTTCTCTAAAAAAATTTTATTTTTGTTCGAAACATTTATATAGATTATCTATTTCAAGTTAAACAATAACTGCTAAATTCCTATAAAGAACCATCGTAATAAGACGATAATTTGAATCGTTTGAATGGCGGCATACAAATTTCAAATTAGAGAATCATACGACATTTGAAAACAGCGCTTAAATGAAAAAGTAAATTCAAATACAAATGACTTGCCATGTGTTGTTGAATAATTTGATGTTGATCCATTGTGTTCCTCTTAGAAAGTAATTTCACAATCTTCACGGTGCAAGAAAACTCTTGTCAGCACCAAAGTAAAAGGAGGGAAATTGTAAAGCGAATGCAAGTACAATATTCACGAAACAAGACGCGGCGAAATACTGAGGCAAAGCCAGACCGTTTCTACACTGACTCTGTGTATTTGCGTCTCAGGTGGGGAGAAGCTCTACGCATGCGCGCTACAATGTTCGCAGTCGAATGATTACAAGACTGAAGATTTTGAAAAAACATCCCTAGGGATTCTCATTATCCGTTCAATCTGCTTTTTATCATTTAATTTTCTTCAAATTAAACTTTTTGCTTTAGTTCTCGATTGATTAAAATAGATAATGAAAAGTTAAAATAATTTTTCTATTCTCTGTAATATCGAGTTCAATAAAGAATATTTTCGTATTCATAGTTATTTTTATTCTAATATAATTATAATAATAAAAGAAAATATATTATTATAATTATATTGTGTAGAAAGAAATTTTAGATTTTTATAAATTAATTTTCAAAATTAAAGAATTGATTTATATAAACCAATTAATATCTATTTAATTTTAAAAAAAATTATTATTTAACAAATAATATTATATTTGATAAACATAATATAATATTCATAAAAAAATTTTTTTTATCTTTACATACTATTATATTTTAAAGAATTCAGTATAAAAATGCAGTCATGCTTTAAATCGTTTCCAATGCTGTTTTCAATGGAAATGTTTTTCCAAGTTATCTACAATTTTCCATACTTTGCACATATAAAACATAAATGTAAATTTTCTTAAATCTTATTTTCTTAGAGACACTGCTTTAAAAACATAGAATGCTTGAGAAACTGTACGTAAAATCTTGATTGCACAAAAATTCACAATGTACAAGTTATTAATATTTAATTTTCAACTAATTTAATTATTTTATTATCAACTATTATGCACTTTCAATGACAAAAATATCTCAATAAAAATAAAAATTTAAATCTACAATAATTTTCTCAATAATTCTCACAAATTGAAAAGAATATATAAAAAAAATTAAAATTAAATGAATCTTTAATATTAAAAATCAATAATTGTAAAAACTATAATATTCAATTTTACTCAAAAATACTTTTCTTAAAATAAATATAATGTAAATAACCGAATTTGAATATCCATCCAAAGAGATATATCGTTATATAATCGACGGACCGATAAATCGCAAATGTTCACGACCAATTACAAATTCTGCACGCGAATCAAGGATTTCGGAAATTTAATTGACCCTTCCACTTCTCTCTCTCTCGTTCGTCACGTTTCCTCGTACGCGACAAATTAAATAGAGAAAATCACCGCAGGGGAGCATGAAGGAAAAAGGAAAAAGTCGACGTCTATCCCACCCCTTTAAGTGTGCGTAAGGTCGGTCGCAACGAGTGCATTTAGCCCGTTTTTTGGCACAAAGAACTACAACCCAGCAGAGTAGGGGCGAATAAGAGAGTCTATTGTTTCCTGTTCGATAGTATACTCCGGCCACTCGAGACACCCGGTATATTTGAGCGGGCGTCCTGCAAGGGGCGTCTCTCTGACTATCGCCAATAATTGTTCCTTATCAAAAGGGAACGAAACAGGCGTCGACCATATGCGAGCCACAACACGCAGCAATTAAAACCTACCACGATTTTGACCCGTATACATAGTACCTTGCACGATATGCTCGTCTGTTCCAGTTATTCTACAAATTACAAAGAGCATGATGTTTCGCGAATTTTCAACGCGTCATTTGATTCCGGATTACATTTTGATATTCTTTTGATATCTACTTTTAAATAAAATATCCTATACGTATATTTCGCGTTTAGAATTTTTTTATTTTACAATATGTATTAAAATATGTCTTTGTTTTTAGAAATTGATGAAAACTTCAAATTCATGTATGTCTTGAGATAATGTAAAATACTTTAATTAACTGAAAAGTAATATATTTTTACTTTGAATTTTATATATAAGATTTACTTTTTGTAAATTTTTTTTCTTTTAAATGAATATAAATAATCATGTATATTTAGAATTGTTTTTATTTCAAATATATAGTGAGTACAGAAGAAAGTACCAAGATATATAATAACAATAATGATTAAAGAAAATAAAACATAACCTAGTTACATTAGATCAAATTTAAAAAGCCACATTTGTTATGATTATCATAATGACGCAGACAATGAGATAACATGGAAATGGACGGAAGGATCTTGTCTGTGTAATGAAAATTATTGCAACGAAAAAGGAAAGAGGGAATATATGTTCACAACGCATGCCTTGATCACATGCATTCTGTATTAAATCTGCAGCCAGAGATAAGAAACTACTGCCATTCTATGTTTAAAAGTAGTTTGATATTAAAGAATGGTAATATATTATTAATGATAAATTTACTGTAACAAATATTTATTATTAATTTCTAGAATTAAATATTATTTATAAAAAATATACGTACTGTACATATAAATATATATATATATATATATATATATATATGTAGAATTTCATATAATAATTGTGAAACTTTTAACTTTGAAATCTGGACTTCATTTCATCAAGAATGATTTTAAGATCATGTCGCGATACATTTTGAATATATTTTACCAGCTATACTAATAAAAATATATAAATATATTTATACGAGAAAAATGAAATATTATACATATTGAAAAAATTCAAAAAGAAAAGAAAAAATCTAGAAATGAAAATTCATCTTTTAATATTATTCAAATTATTCATATAAAATATTTTTTTATTATAATATTCGAAGAAGATATTTAGATGATTCTTTTTAAATGAAAAATATTTTATGTTATTAAAAAATGTTATTTTTTTTTTTGTGATGATAATAAAACATACTTAACGAATGCGTGAATTCCTCGACAATGAGAAACTATGAAATCTCAAGAAGCTCGATATAATTTGGAGAAGTCTAAAGTTAATTTCATAACGTTAAAATCCAAGAGAATTTTCATTCATCCATTCAACAAGTTTAACAAGATCTCAGCTAAAGAACATTTCTAATCTGAAAAGATCAACCAACAAATCCTGAAAGCAAGAGTTTTGAAGTGTGTGAACTGCAAACTAAGTATTTAATGAACGGCTTACCACTTTATTCTATTGTTTATCAACGGGAAGCGCTGAAACTTTTCATACTCAATTTCATATTCCTGGAATTATAAAATTGTGAGTTTTACATTTTTTATCTTTTTTCATTTTAAAAAACTTCTTTTTTTTATATTTCATATATATACGTACAAAAAAAAATATAAAAATATGTGAAATGATTTCGAAAAAATTATTCTCTAAATTTTGTTAATTTATACATTCTATAAAAATTGGATTAATTTTTTAAATAAATATTTTCGTTTTTTCATAAAAATTTTCAGCCATATATTTTCCTTCTTTGATTATTAAAATTCAAATTTGGATACCTAAAAAATTATTTTCAAATTATTATTAATAATATCTATTAAAAAATAATTATTTTAATTAACAATTCAAATAATTATATTTTAAGTAATAATATTGTCTATTATTATTATACGAAATAAAATTCAATAATTATTTTTATATATTATACATATATTATTCTAATATACATTTCAATAATTATTTTCTACAGCACTGATTTTTCAGTATTATTAAAATGCATATTATTATGATAGCAATTTATGCCAATACTTTTCTTCCATAAACAATAACTTCTATTCAAAAAGATTGCGTACAAGCGTTATTTTGTACCTTTCATCACAGAGAGTTGAGTGGATTGATGTTCGCCAATCAAGTTTGCAACTGAAAATTTACTACTACAATTCGGCTACAGCATTCTCTACGCTTCGCCGATCACCGCAGCCCATCAAAAGGACTCTTCTATCGTGAAATTTAGTGAATTTATCTGCACAGCACTTACCATTGTAACACATGAAATTTGGATCTCTGTTAAAATTTATCCTTTCAAAAATTATTCGATGCGAAATACGAAAAAGGATTCGGAAACAAAAACATTACTCATATTTACTAAAAACAAAAAAGATGAATTATAGTTCCTTACTTCTCCAGCTAAAATCTTTATAAAAATGTTTATGTTTGTTAGTATCCAAAATTCAATGCATTTGATTTTCTATTTCAATAATTCTTTAATAATTTTAAAATAATTTTAAATGTAAATCGATATAGAAAAGAAAAATGTAATATGAATAAAGAAAAATGACGAAAAATGAAAAATTTTAAAATTTGTTTATGAAAATAAAAAATTTTAAATTTTATTACTTAAGATGAATTAATATTTTTAAATGAAAAAAAATTTTTTTTTGATATAAAAATTAATCGAAAAATTTTATTCTTATAAAAAAGTAATAAATGAATAATCTAACCTCAATTATTTTCGTAATTAATAGATTCATTTTTATTGTGAATAGTTCACTTTTACATTTCTTATGAATTTTGGAATATTTTCGGAACACAATTCTAAAATCCATTATCTTTGTATGCACCTAATAGCATTTGGTACGAAGAGCCTTCATAACGGATTTTTCGCAAACAGGAAAATGTGACGTAAGGAAACGTTACACTAGGGATGCATCCTTTTCTTACAAGTTCCCTTCATGGCATTCTTTGATCAAGCGAAAAGTGCAAGATCTTATCCAGCACTTTTTTCGCGATTCTTTCTGTAGCATAGCTATGACTTCACCTGAGAAGAAATTTCATTCTTAAAAATTTTTATAAGATATTCACATGAAGAAATAATATTTCTAATATATTGAATTTAACAAATCAAAAATTATATCAAAATTATATAGAATTTTGAATTATATAATATCAGGAATAAAAATTTTATAGAAAATATTTTTCTGTTTATTCAATATTTTTATTCATATTTAAAATTTTTTTTTTTAAATTCCATAATTACCATTTAAAAAATTTTTTGGAATCAATAAAGTTAAATTATTTTTATATCAAAAATATTAATTATAGATAACAATTATTTCTATATCAAAAATATTAATTATAGATAACAAGTAATTAAAAGAAAAAAGTAACGAGAATATATGCATGTTAGAATAAATCTGTGCAATGATACATCATATTACATTATGTTCGTGGTTTCTAGTTCGAGAACATTTGAGAAAAAACGTGTAAGTTAGAGATTTTGAAAGAAGTAATGTAGTTTCGTACGAAATTGCAATTGCATCGAGGATACAATATAAGTCGATCCTTCTGATAAAGGATCAAAGAAAACACAAGAAAAGTAAAATAAATTAAAATAAAGCAAAATTAATTAAGATGATGTTTCATTCACTATAAATTCCTTTTGATAAAAATATCTATGTAATACCTAATAGCATTTAAAAATAATTAATAATATCTACCAAAAATTTTTATTTCTATTATATTAAATTATATTTTTAAAAATTTCTGTTTAATAATTCTGTTTAAAAATTTCTGTTAAATAATTCAAACCTTCTTCCATATAACCTTCTTCCAAATATAAACGCACAAATATTTGATCATACGAATTATGTTATAGAAATTGAGGTTATGTTATATTCTTTCGGATATCTGTTCGTCGCTGTCATATAAATAGCACTTTTGATACAAACTAACTAACTTTATAATAGTACTACTGTAAATAGTACACTATTACAAATCGCTTTTTCGTTTCCGTTGTAGAACACTTTGAACTCCGAAGTCAACATAGCGTCTCGCCAGGAAGGACGTAGCGGAACGAATAATTTTCATTTTAATTGCTTTTGGTGCACGTGGAAAGGTTTCGCGCATAACGAACGTTAGTTTTGTCCGATACGAAATAGAGAAGGAAGCTTTTTCAGTTCCTGACGAGTCACGCGGCAAAGTTAATAAATCATTTGGTAAGGAAACGACACCTCGAAAGGCCCACAGGGTATAAGGAACGACAGAGGGCAGGAGGAGCGAAATTTATCGCGTTGCAGTGTCCTCCTTGAAAAGTCAAGTGACGTAGATTTGCGTGTTTCTTCTTAAGACATGGAAAACTTATGTATCTTAAATGTCCAATTATTTTCAAACTTCGTCTATGCAAATTTATTTCCTTTTCTGGAAAAGAACTAATGGAATTAAAGCAATTGTTCAAGGTACGTACATAATATTAATGAGATTGTGAATTAAAATGGTTGTAGAGGTTATGAAATATATTTTTATATATTTAATATATATTTATATATATAAAATTATATTGCTTTTTCTTGTAACATATTTGGAAAAATTAATGAGTTATATATTGTATCATTGTGTATATATAATATAGATTAATTTTAACTTAGATTAAATTAATGAGAAATGTAATATGTAAAAAGATATTTTTATTAGGAGAATTTAAATTACTTGTAGATGCTGTTATTAAATCTTTATGTAAATTCTGTTATTAAAACTATTACTATGTAAATTTTATATAATTATTATGTAAATTTTTATTAAAACTGTTTCATTTTTATATTGGAAAAATTCTTATATAAGTTATATTAATTTCTATCTTTTATATAATTGAATTACAATTTCTAATTAGTTTTATTAAAATAAGATTAATAATTTTGGTCCAAATATAAAAATATATATAAAATATTAATTGATTTATCGGTTGATTTATTAATCAATTGATTTCAAAGCGTAACGAAATTCTTATTCTCGTTTGTATAAACTTATGAGGTTAAATGAAATTATATGAACATTAGATGAACAATGATAGAGAGCTCGTTACGAGATTAGAAATGAATAATGAAAATTACGAAGAAAATATAGACAAGAGTATTGAAAACTCGTTTTGGATCACATAATTATGTCAGATATGATTCTTTTTTTCGGTTCACAAGACGGAAATCACAAATCGTTGCTATTTCAATCCTTTAAATATTGCATGATTTGTTTTTATTATTTTCCAATTCATTTTTCTACATTTTTTTCAACATTTCTTCATATTTCTATGCATTTTTTTATGCTTTGAACAATTTTATCACAAAAATAACACATCGAATTATATTGCGTATTACAAATTAGTTTATTATATTGTTCATTTTACTGCGCATGCGTCAATGATAAAAATATGAAAGATAAAGATTATAATATTAGGAATTTAATTTAAAATTAATTCAAATGTAATCGATAATTATTAATCATATTTAATATTATTTTCATAAGAATCTCAACAATTCAGCTAAAACATTAATTTTTAATAAGGAAGTAAACTTAAAATAAAGTAAAAAATATAAAAAAAGCTTTCTTTTTATTTTGATTATTTATTTTTCGTAATATTTCTCGTAATTTTGTATAGCTATTATATATATGTCTTATATTTTATTACTTAATTATTTACTAATATTTTAAAATTATGTTTGATATTAAGTATAATGAATAAAATGTATTAAATTAGAATCAATTAAATTTTATTTTAAATTTAAATTCTATCGAAATTGTATAAAAAGAATTTTATTAAATAAGTTAGTTTTTTTTTTTCATTCTCTAGAGAATTCTATTTCATTATTATTGAACCCGATTTACACTCAACAGGTGTTCTTAAAATCACGCGAAAAATAAGTAATAAGATAAAGAAATAAAAAGATTAAAAATTATCGTTTAATTTTTGAATAAAATATTTTATCTTATTTTTTGATTATTTCTGTAAATTGTAAAAGAATAAATATATAAAAATAAAGAAAATATTTAATAAAAAAATCTGCTCTTCAGAAAAATTAATATAATATAATATATATAATTAATATAATATAAATTAATATAATATAACAGAGAAATATAGCATATTTCTCATTTTTCAAGTATAATATACATCCATATATCATTTTAAAGGTTGTCGTTACTTTATAATACACTGATAGCTTTTTAAAGTGATAAAACTGCATAAGTTCCAAAAGCTTCCATGAAAGTTTGAACAAGAAGTAAATCCACAAAGATTGTACATATAAATCCAAAGAAGTTTTGATGAGTACTGAATTCAAAAGGGTTGTGTAACTTTCATAAAATTGTATCATTTCTATAAAGCTCTTCATTTATTAAGATTACAAATATAATACATTTTTCATTTCAAAATTTCAAAATAAAGTATTATATAAATGAATGATTAAAGGCTATTATTAAAAGCTAATAAAAAAGAAATATTTATCTTTATCTTTATTACATTATTATCTTTATATATTATGAAAAAAATAAATACATATTAATTAATACATTATATATATTAAATGAATTTTATGAATATTATTATATGGTTTTTCTTTATATGTTATAATTATTATAACTATTGACATAATAATATTAAAAATTTCAAAAGATAAAATTTATTACTAATCATTTAAAAAATTCTAATTTTTTTTCTTTCTTTGATACTATTGATACATTAACAATAATAGTGACTTACAAATTATTACTTTTATTACTTTTAACAAAGATAATAAATTTTTAAACTTTAAAATTAGTAAAATTTCATTAATTATTTATTATTAATATTTAAATAAAAGAATAAAATTTAAAGTTTAAAATAAAAAAAAGAATAAATAAAGAATATAGAAATAAAGTATGAAAAAAATCTAAATCGCGAATGACGAATGTTTTTTTACTAAAACGCTTGATCTATTCTGTTTGACCGATCGAAGAATACGTACTCGAAGGCATGCTCTCGATATCGTGTAAAGCACTGATTAAAAATTAACTCGTCAGAGTGAAGAGTCTACGTGCTCGAAACCATCTGGTCCAACGAGTTTCATATTTTTCGACATTACTTGAGTATTGTTGAAAAATCGTATGACAAAACCGTGACATTGGTTAAATGTTGAGTATAATCTGATCAAAACCATAAACGCACGTATGTATTCTATATTCGAGAATCACTGTAAAAATATATTATTTACATGAAAACTTTTTTCCATACGATCGAAAAATGATTCTCTTTGACATTTCTATTTTCTATAATTTCGTATTCTACATATGACTTCTTTTATAAAATATATAATACTTATCTACATTTCTTGTTCTATTTTTGATAGAAATTTTTTTCTCGTAAACTCAAGTTTGATAATAATGAAATTATAAGTAATTTTAATTATAATTATAATTATAATTAAATAAACTTAACAAAATATAGAATCGTTTAAAAAATTAAAAATAATTTAACATATTTTATGCTATTTTAGACTTCTTATGTCTAAAATCAAACAATTTTTTTTTATTATTAGATAAGCTCTTTCAAAAATTTAAAAAAATTTTAAGATATTAATAATTTATTAATCCACATAATGATTTATCAAATTTAATTTTTTCAATAAAAATCCAAAAAGAAACAACAATTTAAGTAACAAATTTCATTTAATCATTAAATGAAACTGAAATAAAATAAATTAATCAAATATAATCTTTGCGTATAAAAAATAAATTCAGAATTAAATATTTGAATAATAATCAATATTTCGAGCCAAAATTGATATTACAGTGATTCGAATCAATATTTAATCGTCCTTATCTCTTGATGTTTACGTGTATTATTTTCTACCTAAAATCGAACCTTTCGTTGCGGAAATCATTTTCTAGATATAGGAAGGGGAGTGCTCTCACGGAAATCGTTTCCTCGGTAAACCGATAAAGGGGCTCTAAGCATTAAGGATCTCTTGCCGTTTCAACCAGTCTTGAAATTTCTCTGAAAAAAATGCCAGAATCATGGTTCGAACTATTTATTTAATTGCAAAATAATTATCAATGCTTGAAACTTGGATGAAAATTCAAGTCTAATGTTTTTCCCTATAAAAAACAAATGACGAAATTAATAATGTAACATTTTAGGTGAAAAATGTGAAAAAAAGTGAAAAATACGATGAAGAGAGAAAAAAAGAAAGAGAGAAAAAAATGAAACTTCACGGTCGAGTGGTGTTGTCGTAAATTTTTTTTCGAAGTAGACACTTTATACTTAGTTAACTTGAATGTCTTTTCAAAAAGAAATTCCGATGGCTAATATTTCTGTAAATGAAGATTATTTTAAAAAATTATTGGAAAGATTATGAAAATATATTCGTAATATATATATGTATGTACACCTAGTTGGCAAAATATGAAAGTGATTGATTGAACTTCCAAAGTGATAATAACGCCTTTGCAATTGGCGATTCGGTTGGTAACGATGCAAAATTGACGATATTAGAGGATGATGTATGACGTGACTTACTGATTGATAAAATTAATGGTACCTAGCAACTAATGCTTTCCAATATAATTTTGCCATATCTGTTAAAAATTCGAAGGTTTTAAGTAAAATTCTGATTATTTAAAATTAAAAATATATTTAATATTTCTTTCAATTTGTTACTATAAGATAAATACACAAAATGTTAAAATATATGATACTTTTAAAGATAGTTAGTCAATGGTCAGTAAATGGTCAAGCAATGGTCAGTGAGTAGTGAGTCAATGGTCACTTGGTGGTCAGGTAATGATCAGATAGTGGCCAGAGAATGATTAGTAAGTAAACAATGACCTATTTTATTGGGACACCTTGTATATTTTATTGCATTGATACAGATTTAAAATGAAAATTATTTGAAAAATTG